TAAGTTTAAAAAAAAAAAAAAAAAGCAAACAAAAAGCTGAGAAAATCGCTTTTTTATCAAAGAATACGTCCGGATGGGATCGTGATCGATGATCAAAACAAAGTCGATTGCTTCCATCAACAGCCCCAAAGCTTCACAGTGCTAAACCACTCCCCAAGTCGACATTTTATTCGCTAACGTTGGGCAGTTTTGATTTATATGCTGTTTAATGTTTGATCACCTTATTTTACATATGCATCTGTTTGCATATGCGATTACTTGTTTCTGTGGCTTTTTCGCCTGTTTTGATCCTGAGATTCAATACTCTTTCAGAGGATGTGTTATAGCGCCTCCTACCATATAAAAGTGAAAACACGGAAAGCCGGAAAATTCCATCAATAGCAAGGAAAGAGTTAAAATGCACAATATAGAAAGAAACTAACACCGTGTATCCCAACCAGACACGACGCGATAAAAAGTATCTTTTCCATGTAGGCCTAGTTTTTGTTCTAACCACCCGCGACAGCGACACTACAATAAGCGACATGGGATTGTATTTTAGGAACGGTTTTTATTTTCTGCGACGTCGCGGCAGGAACAACATACAAAATATGACAGTGATAATCTCAGGTAATGATTATGTGCTTTATTCAATGTTAAAAGTGTCTAATGTGAGTTTGAATATTATTTTGCGTTATCTTTATAGCCATAGTGAAAGCAACAATAGATATTTTACCTCAGAATTTGAAAATAAATTAAAGCAAACTTGTACGTTAAAACTGTGAACTCACTGCGAACCAACACGTGTATTCCATAACAAAGATATCAGTCTCTCACTCATAACTGTTCAGTCCATTCACATTTGAATCATCTATTTTCCGTGTCCACTTTTCTTTTCTACACAGTCGCCATGTTTTTGCTGTCACATCGTATCTACACTGGACACGACAAAGCATTGCAAATCATTGGAACGTCGTGTCAGTACGTTATAAATAGTACGAGTCAGCAGTTTACTGTCGGGGATTTGTCGCGGCGCGGCATCCAAGATTATAACGAGTTCTATTGTATTTTATTGCATCGCGCCGTGCCGCTCGCTTCTGGTGTAGACACGATGTAAGTTAATGTAGCTTTCTGATGCTGCGTTTGAATTTTCATGCCACATTATTTGAAATCAGCGCGGGCCAAACTTTTTTCCCTCACGGGCCAGATGTGGCTGGCCCGCAGGCCGCCTATTGAGGAACCCTGGTGTAAATAATGATTTTTGAGTACGTTTTACAAGAAAATACTATTTCTGTCTTTCTACTTCATAATTTCGTGTTTTATTCAGTGTTACTTTCAGACTTTTTCTTTCAATCACAGTCACAGCTGAAGGGTTGTCAAGACAGTAACACCCTTCAGCCATGAATATAATAAAACATAAACTTGAGTGATCATATCACTTAAAGGCTTTAGTTAATTGTTAGTCCACTGTATTTTACTTAAAAAATACTTTTTACTTCAAAAATAAATAAATAAAAATCAATCCTAAACTAAAATACATCTAGTTTTAAAGTTGAGCTTGATTTCTCCCTTTACTCTCCTCCATCTGAATTAAAAGTTATTGTGTCTGTTGAGAATACAAAACCACTGGAGCTTGCTAATGTAATGCATGGCTTTCTATCAAAGTGTGACCGTTTAAATGCATACAAGAAATCAAGGCAATTTTCGTCTGGCGTAGCGAAAATAAATGACGTTTTTATCGAGTCGCTCCGCGAGGGGGTTCCTGAAACAAGCGACCTGACTAGTTGAATTACTCCATTAATATTGAAATGTTTGTCAACATTAACCTTTACAGTGAGACAAATTTGTGCCTAAGTGTACGAATTACCGGGCGCTCTATTGCCGACGTCTCTGTTTGAGTCGGCCGTTTATTGAGACTGATTGCCCAGGTTAATCTCGACATCCTTACGCCGCCGGAAGAAACAGCAGTGTGTGCGATTGGTTGATTTATTCGTTAATTTGCCTCTCTGGTGTTATCAGGTTGCTCACCTGGAGCGCACCGGCCACTATCTCACAGTGAAGGACAACCAGGTGGTCCAGTTGCACCCTTCCACCGTACTGGACCACAAGCCCGAGTGGGTTCTCTATAACGAGTTTGTGCTGACCACCAAGAACTACATCCGCACCTGCACTGATATCAAACCCGAATGGTAAGATAAAACATGCAAATGCTTTGAATTTGTTTGTGCATTGTTGGCAAATGCTTCTGCAACAAAGAAAGACAAAACCAAGCAAACATTCTGCGCATCTTCTCATCCTTCAGGCTGGTGAAAATCGCTCCAGGATACTACGAAATGAGCAACTTCCCTCAATGCGAGGCTAAGAGGCAACTGGAGCGCATCGTCGCTAAACTTCAAACCAAGGAGTACTCTCAATACTGAACCTGCGCAACGGTGTAAGGACTGTACGTTTTGAATTCAATATGCGCTGTGCAATACTTCTGAAGTTGTACATCGTCACACGTCGACATTAGGTTTTGTGTCTGTGTTTCGTTTTCTGTTCTGATTTGTCGTCAAGATATAATTATTTTTTATAACTCTTTGCTCCCGGCTCCGCCGCGTGTTTTGGCACTCTAGGCACTAAGGATTGGTTGGGAGCAAATGCTTAACAGGGATAAACACCATCAACTGTTTTTGCATGAGCATTCATGTGGATGTTGACATTCCTTATCGACATTGAGAACTTCCTGCTATGTTATTGAGTAGAAAAGTCCCTGTTTATTCTGGAAAGGAGCTTTTACTTCAATAATAAAAAAAAAACCTTGATATCAGTCATGCTCAAGTTCATTCTTTTTGTTGACTTGAAATGAAAGAATCAATTATATAGTTGAATAGTTTAAGCATTAATTTACAAGGAAGACCAAAAATGCGCAAATGCATTCACAGCTTAGCAGTTAGGACTTATCAAAATAAAGTAGCATAGTATGTTTATGAATAGTTTGGGTAAAGATATATTGAATTTAAGTGCTGCTCAGCCATTATTTCTATAAATTGCTTAATAAATTAATGAAGTCCATGAGTGGTCATCTTTGTTAGGGTTGAGATTAGGGCATTCATGTTAATGTGTTCATTTATGAGGTTAATTGCATACGTTTAACCGCATTCATTTTTTAATTATATTCACCTAATTTAGGATTTCAGCAGTTTTCTTCTCTTTTGTCTGATTTCTAAAGACTGGTTGAAGAAATACTTAAATAATAGTTGTTTAGCTATTCGATAAACACAACAATCTGGTATATGGGTACTTGTTTATCTGTTAATAATGGAGGAAAACTGCAACCCAATGGGACCAAGTCATTTGAGACTCCTATGGTACAATCATAAAAGCTCAACATGGCTGAAATATAGATTTGATGGATTATTGTCAATCTTTGGAGTACTAAGCCATATGTAATGATATATTTTCTCAGCAATTAGCCATCCAATGCATTGTCATTTCTAAAATGTAAATAAAATTGCAGACCTGGAATGCTGTTTGGAGTACAAAATATTGAACGTCTTTGGAAAATGTTCAATACTGTCTGCATTGAGTTCAAGGTCATTGAAGTTAATATTGTAATTTTTCTGTTATCTTAATTTGATTCAGTTTGTTTGTCTCCATGTTATGTACTGTTTCTTGGAAAAATGGGGGTAACAGTGTATGACAGCACAAAATTACTAAAATAAGCTCAAATTTAAATGAAAATTGAAAATAAAAGCTAAATCAAAATAATAAATGCTATAGCATATAAATAATACTTCATTGTATACAAAATGATCTAAATAATTACAATTACATATCTAAAATAACTGATTTCAAGTATTAGTATTCAAGTATTAAGCCTCTTAATATGATCTATATCATCACTAGTGGAAGCAATTGACTTTTGAGGTCACCTAAAATGCTTGTCATTTGTACATCATCAGAGGGTTTCAGTTGATTCTAGTATAAATACATCTCTATATGGAAGGTCAGTTTTGCGGCAGAACCTGAAAGAACAAATAATTGAAGAGCACAAGGCAATGATTAGATACAAGTCATTGATTAGTTCTTGCCCTTGGAGTACAGTTCAATCAATAATGAAGAAATGGAAAGACTGTGACTGTCAGTATACCTAGAGAAGAAGGATGTTCTCAAAACATGAGTGGCCATGCAAGGACACTGGAGACCAATGACCAATGAAGGAGATACAAGCTTCAGTGGCTGAGATTGGAGAGACTGTGGATACGTCAACAGTGATCTGGGTGCTTCAGCGGTCACAGCTTTATGGAAGAGTGACAGTGAAGCCACCGTTAAAAATGTCATATGACATCTCGGCTGCAGTTCGCCAGAAGGCATGAGGAAGACTCTGAAGCCAGATGGAAGAAGAGCCTCTGGTCTGATGGGACCAAAATTGAGCTTTTGGCCATCAAACTAAATGCCATGTTTTCTGTTCGCCAGTCGCTGTGCATCATCAGAAACGCACCATCACGACCGTGAAGCGTGGTGATGAAGTTCTGCGGCAGATCCTGGAAGGATTGTGGGGTGTAGCAGATGAAATCAATGCAGCAAAACACGGGAGGAAAACCTGATGCAGTCTGAGACACCTGCGACCCAGGAGATGATTTATTTTCCAGGACAGTGACCCAAGCATGAAGCCAAAGCTGCACAAGAAGTGCTTATAAACAATGTTGAAGTCAAGGAGTTGCCAAGCCGAGATCTCAATCCAATTGAGGATTTATGAGTGGACTGTCCACTCACAATCTCCATGAAACCAGACTGAGCTTAAGCGGTTTGTCAAAGAGGAATGGGGAAGCATTGCAGTGGCAGACAGAGACCCATCCATGCAGACTTAAGGCTTGTGAAATCCTTCAAAAGATGCATCAGTTGTGCACAGTTCAGAACTGAATTGAGAACGACTTACAGATTCCAAATGAGTTACTGAATTTGAACGGAGGTATGAAACAGGATGCAGATTGCAGTTCAAATTTGAATGTAAGGAAGTAGAATTTAAATGAATTTCAAAGAAATTCACATGACTAATTTGAACTAAATGCAACAGTCAGGTTCTGAAAGTAACACTTTATTTTCTCCATAGGGAAACTGATTTTTAACAATAACTTATGAACAAGACTCCGAGGTCGTTTATTGATGGTATATACTTCTGCTGAAGCCATGTTCAGACTGTAACTTTTTTTTAAATAGTCCTGTTTAACTGCAGAATTTGTGATGAAAAACTGCATTACCCATGATGCTGTGTAGAAAATTTGTGCCAAAAGAGCTTGCTGGGAAGGCCCTCTCCCATGAAGTTGGTCTTCCGCATATTTTGCAATAAACAATGTATTTTTTTAGATATATAATCAACTCTATTATATTATATATTTTATAATGCACCATTGCTTTTAATTTGATTGTCATTCGCAAAGCTTCACGGGATTGTAGTTCTTTCCCTCACTAAAGCCAGGAAGTACACAGTGTCTTTTTGTGCCAATTTAACATTAAAATTATTAAAAATTAAAATCAAAGTTCAGTGTTGTGATTCATCTCATAGCTGGTTGGTTGGTTTGATTCATGGCTTAAAATGTTTTAACGAAGACTTTTAAATTCCCTGTGGGGAAAAAATGTCAGAACCCCAGTGCAATTCAGTGCATTCCTCCAAATTCTGATTAAATGTTAATTCAAATTCAAAGTCATCAATTGAAAAAAAAAACCTGTATTCAAAATTCTGAACTTTGCACAAATCCAACTTCAAGTGGGTAAGTACTTAAATATTTAATTTGTTTTAATAAGTGCAATGCATTTTTGTACCAATTTGTAGGCTTTTTTCTCACTTTTTGGTTTATCAGTATCAAAAAAGAAAAAAGTGAACCGAAATATTCAATAAAACATGAAATAATTTTTACAGGGATAGCAAACAACTTCTCCAACTATAGTTCTGTAGGCTAGTTCCTCAACTGTCGTCCTGCTGAGTTTGCTGAAGCTGAAACCAACAGAAATTGTAGAGCTGAGCTGGGCATCCTTGAAAATAGTGGCTTCCTTCAGGCCCCGGTCAGCTAAGGTCTCCTGTACGGGTGCATCCGACTGCCGGTGGTCAAAGTTTCATTGTTGTTTCTTTGCCATTGCGTTTTAGCTGTATTTTAGTAGTGCTATCATAAAACGAAAGCATCACTCGGAGCTCCTGACAGATAAGGAAAAATAGCTTAATGCATCATTTTCAGCGTCTTCTGAAAGAGCACGGGTATTTGTTTCACCATTTTTCCCGAGACGTACAGAAGGCAGTGTCTTATTAATCCACGGCAATGCCTTTCCCCTTGGCCCTGAGACTAAAGTTTCATTGTTGTGTTTTGCTGCACTTTTGATAAGAGAGAACACGGCACCCAGGGGGTCTTTTTGTTCTATTTCCATATTAATCCATTAGTCGTAGATGAAGACCAAATCCATTTTTCACCTATGGCATTATACAGCACGGTTAAGTGCGAGGAGAGGGGATGAGCCACTTGCAAGGTGACACGTGAGCGAGATGTGCAAACTTCAAAAGCGACCTTAAGTTAGCATTTGCCCTCAATTGAAGTTTCAAAGAGAGGAGGGGAGTAGATGAGAAGAGAGGAGGCGATCACGTGTGCCATATGCAAATGGCTTAGATTAGCATGTTTATTTTGATCTTTTCTGACTGTTGGGGGGGGGAAGTGTTCAGCCCCAAGTTTTTAAATAGATGGCTTTCTACTCACGAGCACACGTGTAGCCGCGAAATTGTGCCAGAGATTACCGTGGTTCGCTGAAGCCAATAGAAAACACATTAGTTTGAGCTGATCTAGAAATTATGTGCAATTGATCTCAAGGGGAAAGGGGTTTTGTCATACTGAGTGTTTCTAATTGATCCTTCCCAGCATAATTACCCAAGAAAATCATTATTTTTCTAAGTAGTCTCTTATTCGACTGGTCACTGGCATGAGTTGGAAGCAAAACCCACAATGTTGGCTTTCTCATCTTGCTGTTTTGTCGTATTTGTTCATTTGACCCTTTGTTGATGGCAGCATTGTACAATATATCAATGTCGTGATTATTCTTGCCAAGATCGATTGATAGCTAACTACGACTGCTGTGTCCAGACCCCTTTCTTCCAGAATTTCTAATGGACATTTATGTGTTTGGGTTGAATTGTATTATTTGCTGTCAGTTCACATGCTAGTGTTTTGCTTTTTTGCAAATTAATACAACTTTGAGATCTATTATCACTACCTTAAGTAATCCGTTAACCCTATAAAGCCTATGTCCTATTTGATCATCAAATTTCTAAGGTTTCTAAATGATCAACATGATCAAAACTAAAAAACTGTGATAAACCTGTTGTATTCGATCTGCTGCATGCCTTCTGTCATCTGATTGATTGTTCATACTTTTTTTTTTTTTTTTGGCAAGTAAAAAACATTTTAGTATAATTGTAAAACATCCATCTTCAGGCCGTGCTTCACATGTCTTTTTGCTGTGAAATCTTTACTGATTTTTATAAAGTAAACCTAAGAATAACTTATTGTTAGTAATATTTCAAGATGCACACTTACTAGACGGAAGCAACTTTACTATATTATCCATACATTATTATTATTTTTTTTAGAAAAATCATGTGCAAATGTCATAATAGATCAAAAAGTCAATCAAGTCAATAGATAACCATCTGTAAACTTTGAAAAGCGCTTACCGAGCACTGCGGATGTAAGATAAAAAATACATCTGTTAAAACATAAACACCTAAGCGATTGAGATGTTCTGTTGTTGGATGTAATAATGAACGTAGCAGTCGTCATTTACTCCCGACATCTGAGCCGCTGAAGACGCAGTGGATTACGTTTGTTTCTGAAGGGAATGCGCCCCCGATCTACATAAATGCGTCTATGTTCGCGCGAATCATTCATGTTCCAGCCTCATCTCCAGAAGAAGTGAGTATAATGTTTTGTAATGAGTCTTTGCAAATCGTCTTTCCTAATAATGCATACTTGCATGTCAATACATTATACACTTTAAAGTGACCTTCAGGTTACTTGCATTGTTATTAGATTTTGTGGTGTGTATTTTCTGAAAACATGTCTCGCATCCAATCTAGATTTACAGCCAATGGCCTTTTGGAGACTTATTGAACCTGCATCTCATGACATGGTTCCTATGACCAGAGCAAGGACAGCTAAAACGAGGAGTGAAGTTGGAATAACTAGCAATGCAATGGTATTGTTTGAGACCGAGAAAGAAAATAAATGTTTTTTTGGGAGCAACAACAGCCTGTAGACACATGCATTGTTTCTTGCAAATGTACCCAACTTCCACAAACACTGCAGTGACAAAAATGTCAATCAAGCCGATGCATGGGCCTACAGGAGCACGCGCAGCACTCTGAGGATGCTTCCTACAGTTGAAATTTTGTTTTTGTGGGCAACTCAGCATTTCCCTGCCTCTCTTTCCATGTTGTCCTCCACCTGTTGTCCTGAATGAAGCAGAGACAGGTGTCTTATCTTCATCGCACAGTGTTAGCCAAGCCAATCTCAGAGGAAGATGTCGACTGGAATGTGACAAATCCATCTGTCCTGGTTTAAATTTGTATGCTAATTTGAAGTAATGGCCCCTCTGGTGACAGAGCGATGGAACAATTCAATCACGCCATCTCTGACAGGAGCTCAGCAGCCTACCTGCGATGGGTTCCTGCGCGACCTACGCGAGGTTGCCGTTGATATATTAGCCCTACAGGGAGAGGAGGACTATCCTGCTTGTTTGAAATAAACTGCAAATGGTGGATCTTTGAGAAATTAATCTCAGCTCAGTTAAAAGACAGTTCAGGGAGATTTGCCGCCATCTGCATTGCTGCAAATGTGAGAAATGAGAGCTTAACACGAGACTCTGGAGCATATGCTATGACTTCCATTAGCTTTACCTAGGCCTCGACGTACATATTGCTAAATATGCAGTTAGGAGTGTGCGATATTGAAAAAAACATCATCTCAATATTTTTTGTGATTTTTCGATACCGATAATTAAAGGCAGGTATAGGTGATTTAGTTCAAAAATATTTTATGTTATGCTGGTTGAAAGTCTCTTCACTTGAATTAATGGCCCCTCTGGTGACAGAGCGATGGAACAATTCAATCACGCCATCTCTGACAGGAGCTCAGCAGCCTACCTGCGATGGGTTCCTGCGCGACCTACGCGAGGTTGCCGTTGATATATTAGCCCTACAGGGAGAGGAGGACTATCCTGCTTGTTTGAAATAAACTGCAAATGGTGGATCTTTGAGAAATTAATCTCAGCTCAGTTAAAAGACAGTTCAGGGAGATTTGCCGCCATCTGCATTGCTGCAAATGTGAGAAATGAGAGCTTAACACGAGATTCTGGAGCATATGCTATGGTTTCCATTTGCTTGTTGTTTCTCAGGTCTCGGAGTACATATTGCTACATAGTAGGGGTGTGCGATATTGACTAAAAATATAATCTCAGTATTTTTTCAGAGTTTTCGATAGCGATAATAAAAGGCAGAGTACACTCTAAAAAATGCTGCAAAGTTGGGTTGAAACAACCCAGCATTTTTTAGAGTGTAGGTGATTTGATTCAAAAACATTTGTTGTTATACTGGTTGAAAGTAAGAATAGCAATTACTAAGTGGTCTCAATGTATTTATATGTATTTATATCGTCCGTGGAAGGCGTAGGATCATAAAATGTTCATCCAGGCTGTCCTATCTGCCTGTCAACTTATGTATTTGCATACCTTGTGTTTTGGAGGAGGCGTGGCTTTGGAGAGTGATTTGCCGGTAGGGTGGGATCTTATGCCGAAATCGCCTACCCTACCTTTGAACAATATTTAGCTTAGTGTAGTTTTATGCTGGTACCTTGGCTAATTTAGGCCTGTCATGAATTAATATGACACCAAAACCGCCAGTAGGTGGCGGCAAGTTAATGAGTAATTCATTGAATCATTCATTCAAACGATTCGTTCAAAATGGCTAATTAATTTAGAAACAAAGCAAGTGGCTGTCTTTATGATATTGTATCATTGACTCAAAATATTTGTTAAAAAATGTATTCATTCAGGAGTGAAACACAGCAGTTTTGAGACACAAATGTACTGCTCCGGCTTTGTTTGGGACTATTTTCGTTGACGAAACAGAAAAAAAACGGACAATTTTGTGTCTTAAATGTAACTTGCTCAATATTTCTTATCACATTTGCATTTGTGCTCACACGCTAATATTCAGAAAAACGGCACTCTTGTGTTATCTTACTAAAACATATATCTTATAAATATAAAAAAAAACAAAAATCCATACAGGGATATTTTTTGCTTTCATAACTTGAATTATAGAGGTATAATGGCATTTAAAGGCATCTTCACTCAGTGAATGCTTTTGAACTCCCAAAAGCATTCACTGTTTTTTTACAAAGTCAGTGACATACTCCATAATGTCAGCTTGCATATCGTTAAACCAACAATAATGATATTATCGTAGACGATAAACATTGCACACCCCTAATACGCAGCCTTTAACACTACCTACGCTAAAGGAAAATGATCAGGTATTGTGACAGAGCAATACGGATGATGAACAAACCAAACCGCTGTGCTTATTTGGCTTACATCACTTCTATTTGCTGTTTAAAGCCCAGAGTTAGGTTTAAAATAGGCTTTTTTGATCATTAAGAAACTTCTGTTGGCTGTAGATTTATTCAGTTTCACAATATCTACATTCGTTCACAAAGCAAAAGGAAATATTGCATGAAAGGGCTCCCTAGGAATCCCTAAAATTAAAGTCAATAGATAACCATCTGTAAACTTTGAAAAGCGCTTACTGAGCACTGCGCCTGTAAGATAAAAAATACATCCATTAAATCATTTGATCAATGTATCTATTCTCTTTGATATGTAGAGCAGGCTATGTAGAGCTTTTATCAGGCAATTCAAAAACAAACATCAGACTTTGATACATGACTAAATAATTAAGGAAACAATGTACATTTTATTATAATTTGGCGTCATTGATGTCAGACGACTCAATGCATCTACAGGTTTTTCACACAAAGCTACTAAATGGCTTCAGAAGACTTTGAATATAATGCATAAATCAGTTTTTGGAGTTTGACAGTGGCTTTGATATTTACTTTCATTAACATGCATTTCATATTTAGAAAGTCATTTCATATTTAAACCTTGATTTCAATGGAAACTTAAATTGCACTTCTTACAAATGACTTCAAAGGTTGTGTGTTAACAGAACTTTACATAATTTTACATTAACAGATAATCCAAAATGCTTTCCATCCTTCTGACAGATAAAAACTAAGGTATCCGGTCTATTGTGTCTCGAAAACATTCTCACAGTAAAGGATGCTAATAGGGATTAGAAGTTAAGATAAGAGGAGAAAATAAAGTTTTAAATTGCTTCCAAGAAAATACACAAGGAAAGAGATTTGAGGAGAGAATGTTATTCCAAGTGTGGTCCAGTGTAATAATTAATGGGATATTGTTCATTAAACTGGGTAAACACGGGGCCTGTTGTCTTTCATATTGCAAGAGCAAAATATAAAGAAAAGGCCAATGCACTTCTCAGTTTGTGTGCCACGGAAGAAAGACCATAGAGGTTTGGAGGCATATGAGGGTGAGTCAATGATCACAGAAATTTTATTTTTGGATGAACTATCCCTACTTGCACAGTCAACAATCTTCAGCCTCTCAGTTCCCAAAATACCTAAGGAAAATGTATGTGGACTTAAAATGAAAATGAATCGAAATGAAGCTGGTTTGATTTTCCATGTTTACCTACCCAGCTAACAATTTTTGTTTCCCACAACATTAGTTCTATTTCAAGGTTTGTTTTTGGTTAGCCAGGAATGTTCTCTTAACAGAAATAGAACATTACCTTTTGGTTTGTGGAATGTTATCCTAATGTTATTCTTACGACCCCTTAACCTCTTTACTCCGATATCATTACCCAACTGTATGTCAGTAACGATCCATCACACCCGCAAACCAGTATACAGCAGATGAATGTATGGATGCATATAATCAGTATTATACAAACCATATCTTCTTTTTATTTGTTTCATTAATAAAAAATAATCCGAGCACATCACCCATCATATGGAAGATTAAATTTGGCTCCAAAGTGAAAATCCTATTAGAACATTACCACAAATTTGTGGACCTCATTGAAGGTTAACTCTCCCATCACCAAAAAAAAAACAGTCTATGCATTCATTTGCACTACTTTGGGTTCAATTCAAGCTCAATCATCAGAATTGAGAAAATATAAATAACTGACTCAAAATGCAATTACAGTAAAGCACTTAAAGGCTCCTTATGGAAAATATATGTCGACTTTTGATATAAATATCCAACCCGATCTCATGAAAGTGCGTATAAATAGTACGCCAAATAAAAACGAAAACTCGTGGTATTGATACGCAAAAATGGACTTTGGCGTGTATATGCTACGCGATGCGTATATGTACGCGAAATCTGCGTATCATGTGCACGCCAAACATGCATATCATATGCACGCCAAAGTCCGTTTTTGCGTATCAATACCCCGAGTTTTCGTTTT